CATAAACTAAAAGAAAGAAATTAAAGCTGTAGAGAATGCTCCAACTTCAGAGGACTCATACTATACCGTGAATCGTGTCTGTCACCTGGAAACCAGGGTGCTCCAGGCACGATCGCATGGGCAGCCTGCAGCAGAGAACACATGCACATACAGCTAAGGTGGTACATTACCCAGCGCCCTTCAGCCCCCCCCACACACAGACATTCCTTCCCAGGAGGGGCGGGCTGCGGTCACACCGTCGGGCCAGGGACCAGGAGTCTGTACTGCTTCATGCTATAAATCCCGAACATGGAAGACCAGCAGGACGGAGACACTTGGCATATGCAAAATCAGACACAGTGGTCCGTAGTGAATTTAGTTATCAAAAGAAGGCACCAAAGCAGGTATGGAAGGATGGTAGAGAGGAATTTGGCAACTATCTTTGGAGAGTATTAAATGAAGAAACACTAGGTGAGACCAAATGGGAGCACACAATACTAGAAAAATGTTTTACTTCCAAGAAGGAAGCTCTGACTACCCTAGTAACAGATATAATTACACCATCTTCAAAGTACAAGGGGACTTTTTTCTTAAAACAGTACACAAAACAATTTAAATTCATGATGACCCTAATACAATGGGAAAATAAATACAGAATTCACAGTATTTAGTCACCACAGACATGTGCTCTCACAATCTCCTGGGACAAAACATGGCTTCGTCATGAAGGAGCATGAGTCATACTGTCTCTGGACAGTGAGTGTGACCTTAGTTCCAGAGAGAAATGTTTGTAAGCAGTCAATTTCTCCGTAGCCAATAATTTAATATTAACTATCTATGGGCTGTTCCATATTTTACTGTAGTTAAATTTTTAATTAGACTGCGGTTAAGAGAAAAGAGGGAAGGCATTTTGTTTTTTGGATTCACAAATAACTGTGTCCCAAATTTTACTCTTTTGAATCACTATACATATCTGCGTTGTGCCTTGATGCCTTTAATTTTTTTTATGGTTAGTACTGAAACAAGCACTAATATTAGCCTTCTATTACTCAAAGAACAAAACAAAAACATTTTCCCAGACAACACTCGAGAGATCTTTGAGGTATATTATAAACATTCATGCCTGTGAGACCGTTCAAAACGGCGAGGCCAAATCTCTCCATTCATGCACAGAAGGAACTGGCTCAACACAGAGTCACTGTTCTGACACAGGAAGGGACAAAGCAGTCCTCTGAGACTTCCGCCAACTGGCACAGGTTACATTGAATGAACAATACGTACTGACATTTGTGTCTTCCACAATTCATGATAAATAAGCAAACTGGTTATTTGTAATCAGCCAAACTTGCTTCTTTGAAAAGGCTGCTACTTTTCGGACGTTGCAGAGCTCATGTTCCTTCCCAGTATCAGAAAGGAAAAAAATCAAGTTACATTTATAGCTAATTTTATTTCAAGCTCTCTTCTAGCAATTATTACCTCTTTCCACAACAGCAAAGGCTAACCTCGCATTTCTCCTCAAAACTTCTATTTAACTACTTTAGTTAAGGATGATTTTACAGTTGAATTTGGTTTTCATCATCTATACAGCTAGTAAAATAACTTCCTTCTCATTAGAATTAAAGCCAGTCTATGTGACATAGATAAACTGTATTGGCATGTACTGTTTCAAGATCAGACCCATATTTTTATTAAATAATTTCCTATAAAAAATACTGTATAGCAGTTTTTCAAAGCTGTGTCTTATCTTGTTCATATTCTCAAAAAGACCCACTTTTCCCCTTGTCCAATACTGCACTGTTCATAAGCCCCCTAAAATCAACACAAATCAAAACAAACCCCCTAGGATACAGTTAGGAAGTATCCTTATGTCTCATCGTATACAGATAGAGGGACTGGAAGAGACAGATGCCTGGGGGACAGAAACTGTGGGCTTTAAACCCAACCAGGAGGTTTGTACCTTGGCTTTCTACTAAACTCCTAGTGAACTGTACCAAAGAGCAGTCGTATCATTGCCACTATGGAAATAAAGTTAGTGACTCTCAACACCAAGATGAAGAAAAATAAGAATGTTGAGAACTGTCTAATTATTTTTAAACTATGTCACTTGCAAATCATTATAAATGTAAATCAAAGCAATATTTCTACTTGGTATTTGATTCTCAGAGGTTAAAAAATTTTTTTAAGCTTAAAATAAGGAGGAAGGGAAAGAAGGGACATTCTTAACTAAACCAGTCTATCATGTAATTAAGCAAAACAACAAAATAACCTGAGGAAATACACAGGTCTATCATTCCGTGTAGTAGTCTTCAATTCACATTTTTCAAAGGAGGAGTTTATTCTAACCCACCCTAAAAGGCTACAACTGCATCAATACAGCTGATTCAGGGCATACCAGCTATATGCGTACAAATGCACATACACGTGTAGGAATGTGCTGTGTGTGCGCTTTCCTCTAAGGAGAGTGAAGAAAAAAAAGGAAAGCTTAACATTTGAGTTGTACTGTATTTGTTTTTAATCCATACATTTATGAAAGAAATGTGATTATTTGGGCTCCATATTTGCTCAGCCACATCTCTTAATTAATGCAAATCCTGACAAGTATTATTTGTAAAATTTGTAAAACTGACAGCAATTTTTTTGTTGTGATGAGAGCAGCAGCCTCGTTGTAGACTATGAACATTCATCCTCATGATCGGCCAGATGCAGTCCAAAGAGCTGATCAGCAATTATGACTGACCCCACACCCCAGCAACAAAATAAATATTTTAAATCTGAATTGAAAATATTTGAAAAGGAATTTAAATCTATGGCACAATCCCTGCCACAGTGTTGTGAAAGCTCAATTTTAAAGCCAGTGGCAGCTGCTGCCTGGCCAGCATCTTTCGGCTCCTGAGTCTCCGCCCCCACTTGCCTTCGCTCTTCTCCTGGTGCCCTCAGAGTCCCTGGAATTTGGTTTCCCTTTTCAGGCGGTCAAAGTATTTGAAGTGTCTGAAGTTCTAACTGGTAACAAGTGCTCTTGCTAAACCCTGACGAACTTGGGAACCAAAAATATTTAAATTTGAGGCAGTAGGTTTCACAGTTTTACTAAGCTCGAACTTCAACAAATAAAGCATCCTGAACTAAGGATGCAGTTGAGTAATTACACTGAAAATACAGATTGTACTGCTAACATTTCAAAAAGGACAGTATTAACTACTGATAGTGGATCTTTTTTAGGGGAAAAGATTAACTGCTAATTCTCAGGCTGGGTTATAGCTGGCTTCTAATTACCTACCAAATAAGGCAGCACATTTTAGAGCTGTGCTGTGGTCACCAGCTACATGTGATTATTTCTATTTAAACTCATTAAATAAAATTTAAAATTCCATTCCTCTGTCACACTTGCCACACTTCAAGCATTCGAAAGCCACATGTGACCGGTGACAGGTGTCCTGGACCAGCACAACCCCAGAGCACTTCCCTCACCTCCATCATCAAGTTGCTGCTCTAGACAGAGCACAGGCTTGACACCTAACTTGTCTAGCACCTGGGGGAGCAAATAGTTCACATATAAAACATTTCTATTTAAGTTACAAATAGAAACAAGAGACTCATAAATAAGAATTAAACAACAGTCTTATATCACATGCAATTCCAGCAGCGGGTTATTAAAGTACTTTAAAAGTATTGCTTAAATGAAAGCACATAAAACAAATAAGCAGAAATGGGACTTACTATAAAAATATAAAAGTCCTCAAAGAAAAAATGGCTAAAGACTGATTGCATTGTGTCAAAGGACACTGACTGGGTATTTCAAAACTGTGCTTTGAAATTTCAACTTAATTTAAAAAAAACTGTATGGTAAACATAAGATCTTTTCTGCTCAAAAATTATCAGCAAGGGGTCAAGGTCAACTAGAGTCAGCTACATGTACCTAATTACATAGCAGCCTTGGATCACTGCCTCAGCAAAGGGCAGAGACCTCAAACATGCTAACTGGTTCCTAACACTTTCAGATCCTAACCGCTTTCACAGCTTGGAAGGGTCAAGGACAAATAATCCAATGGAAAGGTTCAGTCAAATCGTGACAGCTTTGTACATGAATTAATATCTAGAGTGCCAATTTAACTTAAATATTTCTAAATACATAATTGAATTATCATAGACTTGCTTTTTATAGAGCTGAGACTAGTTTTTTTTTAAATTAAGAAAAAATTAAGTCAGGAAATTATTCATTTCATTAAGATAAAAATGGGCCCTTCCAAAGGATATCAAAATGCTACCACAGAAATATATTAACCAAACATTTTTATGTTTGTGTATATGTGGTGAGTCAAATGGTAAGTTCATGGTATAAATAGCTAAAAAAAAACACCCAGACATTCGGGATATCCTACTAGTTGGTTAAGACAATTCAGCAAATAAGGCACTTTAGTTAAAAATTAGGTTCAATTATTTAAGTAATATAAAAATTTAGAAAGATTATGAATCTAACAAACTCAAAGTTTAAAAGCAATCCCAAAGGGAGGTAATTAATTCAGCCTCATTGAGATCAACTTTGTCTCTTGGGACTACCCTGAAAACCTTTCTGAATATGCTCTGAAACACTACCTTCTCTACATTAGAATTTAAAACCTAAGTCTGAGCTGTACACTTGAATGTGTGGAAAATGCAAGCAACAACAAGCACTACGGAAGATTCAACCAACATCATACTTTGTCTTGATAAAAAGCTGGGAATATTTGTACTAGTTTACTAATAAACAGTAAGTCAAAGTAGGAATTCACTTTGAATATAAACAAAAACCAAGTTGCGCAGCCCAATTAAAATATAAGCAACATATTTTTAAATAGCTTTAATAACACCACTAAAGTACTTAGAATCTCTTCCCAGGTAATTTAGGAAAGAGGATTAAAAATGTTAAGAGGCCCCTCCCATCCCCAAGCAGCCTACCAACTTAGAATCTCTTCCCAGGTAATTTAGGAAAGAGGATTAAAAATGTTAAGAGGCCCCTCCCATCCCCAAGCAGCCTACCAACTCACCATCTTTAAAATCGGCCCGTACAGCCGCAGGAGCACTTTCCGAGGCTCATCGCCAATGGCGGCCATGGTGTCGGGTAAGGAGCACTGGAACAGCATGTTACTGAGGCCACCTCTGTCAGAAATAAAAGGACAGGAAGTACTTGCATTTTAAAGGTAAGCTAAGCCACTCTTTTCTATTTTTTTTTTTAAGCCACTCTTCTTAAATAACTACGGATGAGAAGTCAGGATCCCACAAGAATTCTCCTCCTCTGAGTCTTCATTTATTACACCTCAGGATACCTGCAACAAAAATGAAGAACTCCACAGCTTTCCAATCAATTCCATGAGTCACATTAAACCCCATTGGTCCCTCCACATTAGCACTGGGGTGAGTGTTTTTAATTGCACATGTGTTCCTGCACTTCACATTGGCCTCTGGTGAATGATGAGGACCAAGGTGAACCCTCTTCACACTAGGAATGGGGGAAATCCTAGAGGAACTCCTTCTGGCCCATGTTCTTCTATGACCCAAAATTTCCATTACATTCCCATAAATACCAGTGAAAATCTTGGGGAAATACCTAAACTGCCTGCTTCAGGATTTCCTGTTTGAAGTACACCTCCAAGATCCACCTCTTCCATGCCTATGTTAGCAGAAATTTCTCAACTGATTTTGACTAACAGCTTTTCAAAACACTTGCAACATTAACTGGTCACCGGAACTTTCAGAGGCAATGGAATACTTCAGTATCCTCGACCTCCCACTCTACCAAAGACAAGAAACAAGTTACAGGAAAGTAACAGCCTTTGGGGACAAATCACCTGCCTGGGTTGACAACGATTAGGTACAGAGGAGGGCCACTTAGTGCAGGGGAGTGGAGATGAAGGAATGAAAGCACTGTATGCCTGGGATGGCAAGGAGGCCCCGCATCTACAGTAGAGTTGAGGGTCCCTAACTCATTCTTACCTAGTCAATAAATCTTAACGAACTATGACATAAGCAAAGCCCTACACTGGAAGTTAGGTAACACAAAACTGAATTACGCTCTGCTCTGCCCTCAAAAACTTCCACGCCAATGAAGAAAGACAGAATTCAAAATCGTAGGACAGTGTCTGAAGCCATGTGCTCGGCAAATCATGACTTTATATCCACCATCAGGTGTCTCAATATTACACAATTTTGGGAGAAAAAGTTATCAGCAACTGGGACCACAGCTTTTGAGAGTGACATCTCCCAGTCACAGGAACCACCAGCCTCTTCCCCCATCCACGAACAGTCCCATCTAGGCAAGCTATGCTCCTAAAAGGGAGGCTAAAATTCAGAGCTAATTCACATCATGTGTAGAATTATACAGGGATTATGTATACATCGACAAGCACTGCCAAGAAACACAGGTCAAGAGAAACCATTCAATTTGTGTGGGGGAGGAAAGATAACTTACCTGGGACCTTGTTAAAGGCGCTATATTAACACCGGCATAACAGTTCTGAAAGTTCGGCTGCTACCGCAGCCCTCCTCTTCCTCAGTGAGAGAGCCCAGACTTTATTCAGGCAGCAAAACGCCTAGTCTCAAAACTAAGTTTACTACCTGTCGTATTTACAGCTAGATGTGCCCCTGGGACCAAGTGCTATAAATAAAATAAAATGTAAAAGGAAGTTCATGTGACTTTTGGGAAATCAACTGGAGACACACACCCAGTTCTCAACCTGCTGTCCGCAAGGAGGAGACGGTGTAGCAATTGCTAAGCTCCTGGTCCTGAGCTCCAAACCCACACTTCAGTTTTGCATTGTAACACTGGTCAAGGACTCCTTTATCATGGGCTCAGGATTAGCTTCTGCATCAGGGGCCCTGGAGGGAAGGCCAGGGATTGTCTGCTTGCTGCTTCTGTCCTGGGCTGCGGCAGCAAGGCGCCAGCCCGGCAGAGGCAGCTGTTGGGTTGCCATTTCTTTCAGCAACCCCTGAACCAGCCTCATGGCGCCCTCTCAGGAGTGCCGGTTCAGGCTCCACGGGGATGCTCCTCAAGTTCAGACACGCCTGGGGACGCCTGTCCTGAGTTTCCAGGTTCTAATAATCCCAACCTCTTCCCTCGGTCCCCCAGCCAGAGGGTGGGGCTGCTCCTGCAGGTCTTACTTTAATCATGTCCGTGTTCCTGTTTGGCTTTTTCAGTTCTCCAACACCTGTTTATGCGGTTCCCTATATAAATGCTTCTATGGTGAAATACCTAGTGTTGATTTCATTTGCTTACCAGGGTTCTGACTGGCACACATGGCCAGAGCTTTAGCAGCTTCCTAGATCATGAGAATAAGGGCCACATTCTGGTAATCGCAGAGCCGTTAGCGGAAAGGAGCCTGCATCACCACAAGCCCATGGAGCTGCTGCACCTGCCTGACTGGACTACTTGCAGACCTCTTTAACACAAAAGGGAAATAAATTTCTGTGCTGTTTAAGCCTCTCTGAGTCTTCTGTTATCAGCAGGTAACCACGTACTAACTAATACATCACACCCACTTACTTGTTTTCTTTCCATGTGGAAATCCCTCCTCACTCTTCTGCTATCTAAAAACTACCTACTGTTTAAGACCAAGTTCAAGTCCACCTCCTTGAGACGCTTTCATCATCTGCCCTGCTAGCACCCTCAATTTTGAAGGCCCACTGGCCCCAAATGGTGGGTGCTCCATGAGGATTTTCTGAAAATGACAATAACCAGCAGCACTCTTGTCCCAAAGCCTCTGTTCTAGAAATTCTTCTTGTTGTTTGGTAACTGATTGCCTTACATTGTTCTCTAATAGATTTGTGCATTACTTGTGGCTTCCTAATTAGATTGCAAGCTCCCTAAAGGATAGTCCGTCTTCCTGGGGGAAGGCATCATGCTAAGAGACAGACCATAGGTTTCAGAGATGGGAAGCCAGGCATCCCACTGCTGCCTGTATTAGCTGTGCAACCTTGGGCACACCACTAAACCTCTCTGACCCTCAAATTCACTCCTCTGTAAAATAGTAACCATGGTAAGAGCTCCTTAGTATTCAACTCCTAAGTATTCAACAAGGATTAGCTCATTTCACCCTCCCGACGATCCTACAGGGTGGATGCTGGCACTGCCTCCAAACTTTACACAGGAGGAACTGAAGCACACAGCAAGAAGTGGCTGAGCTGGCATCTGAATGAAGACAGATGGCCCCAGGGCCCTTGCTTGCGGCTCTGACACCGGGAGACACAGAGATGAAGCAGAAGAGCACTAGGCAGAATGCTAAACACGCAGGAGGTGCTGGGGGCACCGTGATCGATCACCAGAGCCTTACATGGGGACTATATGTACAGACCTGCATACAACAAACAGTCGTTTCCTAGGGCTGCTGTAACATGACCACAAAGGTAGTGTCATAAAACAACACACACTTGGTATCTTATAGTTTTGGAGTTCAGACACCTGAAAATAGGTCTTACGGTGCTAAAAATCAAGATGTTGGCATAGCTGTGCATCAAAAGGACATATATGACATTCCAGGAAACACAAAATAGCTAAAAACAGATTTGGATGAGCTGATGAATTTCAATAAATAGAGATTACCAGCAGGAACTGGGAAATTAGTCTTTAATGTGCAGAGTTTCCAACTGGGAAGATGAAAACATTCTTGGGATGGATGGTGGGGGATGGTTGCACAATAACGTGAGCAGTTAGTGCCACTGGACTGTACCCTTAATGGTTAAAACAGTAAACTTTCTGTGTATATTTTACTGCAATTTTAAAAAAATGAAGGAATGAAATACCTACACAAGCTGTGACATGGAAGAACCTTAAAAACACTGTGCTAAGTGGAAGAAGCCAGTCATGAAAGAACACATATTGCATGATTCTATTCATGTGAAATGTCCAGAACAAGGAAATCTATAGATAGAAATTGGATTAGTGGGTGCCTAGAGCTAAGATGGGAGGTAGTTTAAAAGGATAAGGTTTCCTTCTGAGGTGATGAAAATGCTCTAAAAGTGATCGTGGTGGTGGCTGCATATACCTATGAATATACTAAAACCCACTGAACCATATAGTTTAAATGGGTGAATTATATGGTATGTGAACTAAAACCTAACAAAGCTTTTTTTCAAAAAAGAAAAATGATTTTTTTTTAACCAATTAAAAAACGTGATTTATGCTTCTATGGAAACAGCGTTTCCCAGATATAAATAAGTCATACTTACGAATCTTTTTCAACAGCTTGTTTAAAAGAAATCAATCGCCAGTATTAGGAACTTCCTCAAGAGCAAGGCCCTAAAGGCCCTATTTTCCCCACAAATTAGTTGTCCACCCCAGTTGAGGAAGACTAAAAGACAAGGGAACCCAAAGCTCTGGTTTTTCTCAAATAGGACGGAAGGAAGGTGTGGAGACAGAAGGACCCAAAGAGCCTTCATTTTTCTTCTCAATTCAGGGCAGTGCCTCAAATGCGACAGCTTATGAGAGCTGCCCTGCCACATCCAGGCACAGCCAACCGAGGCTTCTGGCTACCAGGCAACAGGACAGGCATTACACCAGTTAAAAACCCTGGTTTTCCTTCCTGTCACACACTCCTCAAGGCTCAGTCAACGGCGAGAGCAAACAGATGAACTACTGTTCTAAGCTGTGTACCTCTATTCAAAGTTTAATCCTGCGCTCCCAAAGAAGGCAGGCAGGCCAGCTGGGCCAGAAACAGGCCCACAACCTGGAAATCTTTCATCTCCTGTATTATCTATAGCCTCTTTTGTTCAAAAGGCTCTAGTGGAAGGCAGTAAACTGTAGATTATTTTTTAGTGACAAAATAAATTAAACAAGGTCATCATCATGAGTGACTGAAACTGTGAGAAACCACCAAAAAAAATACCGGTTACCAATGAGCCAAATGATATGACTAGGAACAAGAAGATATGCCACAGAAATGGTAGCAAAAAATACAACAGCCCAATTATCCTCCTAAGTAAAACCCCAGGAACTCTCAAGGATTTCAAATGAGTTTCAAACTACAAACTTTTTTTAATCATCTGGCAGAACAGCTTTACAGTAAACATACATGCCATAACTAAATTTAGGAGGCACAAGATACTCACATAAGCAAAATATAAAATAAAATGAAAGTAACACATTCAGTTCATGGCGTTCAGTATGT